CAGCAATTTAATGTAACAATTTTCTAATTTCAACAACTTTCGCGAGTGATCTCCCTTTAGAATTTTCACGACTAAATGTTTGCTGCTAAAACATAATTAAATCAATTGAATTTTCATCTTCCTCGTAGTCTAAATTTCCTTAATTTCCTTAACGTTTATAGTTCTCTCGTAACATTCGAATGGCTCCTTGTCATTTTGATAATTTTCCATAATTTTCATTTTAAACTCGAACCTCATTTTGAATTCGAATCCTTCTGTTAATTGAAACAGCTACACCGACGATAAATTGAATCTCTGATCGTGAGAGTCACTGGTAATGCTCCATCGTGGCTGAGAACATCTGAGAAATAATAACAGGGATCGCATTGACGCACTGACGATCTGATCACGGCAATCTCAAAGTTGTTCTTGTAAGTGGCCAGTTATTTGTTTATTAACGATGCAGCGGCGCCGTTGATCTATTCTAAGCGCAGGCTACTCGGCTTCTCTGCCTAACAATCGCGGGGAATGATCGACGAGGCCAAATGATAAATCGATCGAGGGTACGCAGGGTAAAATTGGAAAAAACCAATGCGTCGGACGAGATATTGTTCTAAATTGCGCGCCTCGCGTTCCAACTCGGAAATATTCCATTCACGTTTCTTTCGGTCACGTGTGCGCGTGTGTGTGCGTGTGTATCTCCGTCTCTTTTTTTATGATTTCTTTCTCATTTTCGTTTCGAGGAAAGTAGTAAAGTGCTTTTTAACGATTACCGAATTTTTGTACGATTCTCTTCTAAATCTTTGGAAGACAAGAAATTTCAAATACGGATAAGTTGATCCGACTCGATCTTTTTCGAAAGATCTTCTTTTGACTAACTTCACGATCTTTCTAAATTTATTGTCTTATAAGAATCTTGAAGGATTGAGAGATAATTATGGATAATTGTAGGATTTAATGCAAATTTAAAGAAGAAATCATAAATCTCTTGCGAAAGTTTGTGTTTTAATACAACTTAGAACAATTACCTACTTTCTCAACCTAGTTATTATCCAAAGTTGCCAAAAGAAACAGATGTCGACGAAATTGAAGAAAGAAAATTAAAAGGATTTTTGAACATGTTGAGTGATCAAGTTAAAAAAAAAATATATATATATATATATAAAAGAAATTGTGATGATTAAGAAATTCAAGAACTGAAATATGAAAGTATGAAAGGAATTTAAAGGGAAAAAAGAGATAAAATGAGATTAAAAGATGAGTGAAACTTACCACACCGACAGCCTCCAAGGCGAATAACGTGGTGCCGAAATAGAGGGAGAAATTTCTCAATGTACCGACCATCTCCCTGTTGTCGATCGGCGGCAGATCGTTAAACATGTACACTAGGATCATCGCCAGTCCAACGAACGTGATCGCATTCGCCA